GCGCTTTGCAAGAAGAATGGTCAGCCAAGCGCCAGGCAGACGAAGACCCAGTGTCACGTGTCTGCACCCTGGCCGGAACCTAAGATGACAAGGGAGCGGCGGCCGCTCGGAAGCCTCGAGTAAGGCGAAGTAAGGGCAGTGCGCCGAACCCGGGCCGGAACTTAGTTGACAAGCGAGCGGCGGCCGCTCTGAAGCCTGGAGTATAAGGCGAAGTAAGGGCAGCGCGCCGAAGGGGGTCGCCGCGTTCCTTGTCAACCTCGACAGTGCAGCAGAAGGTACCTGGCAACAACAGGCGACGCATGCACAAACAAATAAGAACGCAAGTCCCAAGTGATGCGCCATGTTTGCCTGAGCGACAGGCGGGCTGCAGTTTCTTCGCAACAACGACCAGCATATAGCCTGAGGAGGGCGCACACACCGTGTCGGTGTCCCGCACCATGCAGATTCCCGGACACAAGGATTTTTTTCGAGAAAGCACGAGGCAGGAGAAAGTTGGGCAAGGTACAGAGTCCCTGCAGGCCCTGGCCCTAGCTCAATCAGCCGGACTCTGACTGCCTCTCAGCGGCCGGGCTCCGAGACCGCGCGGACGTCGCAGGCTGCGAGGGGGGCAGCGCAAAAGGAAGCCAGGTGACCGGACCAGCGCGATTGTGATAGCACACGGGCGCTGGCAGGATGCGAACGTCCGTCAAAGGCCAGAGGTAAGTGCAGGGGCCGTAAGGCAGTGCCGGCACATCCACGCGGTGCTCCTCGAAGCGACTCTGAAACTCGGCAAAGTTCGCGACACGGACGGGCAGGCCGAGGAGCGCAAAGGCCTCCACACGACCACCACAACCCAACCAAACGCCACCTGGAGTTGTGGCGCCGCGGCGCACCTCGGCGGTCTTGGTGCCGGAGAGGATCAAGTCGAGCCACGCACGGCGCAGGCGCAGGATGCGGTCGCCTGGAGCAGGCACTGCTTGGGCCGGAGTGGGCACTTGCTGTCGAGCAGCCGACATCAACAGTGCGACTCGCGAACGCAGGAAATGGTGCGGGCAGAAGGCTTATGGAGCCAAACAGCTACTCAGCTACTCGTCGTCGGCATGAGACGTAGCAGGCAACACTCGAGAGCAGAAGGCCACTCCCACGCGAAGAGCTACATCTGGGTCGCGCACGACAGCAGGTGGAAGAAGCCCGCAAGCAGCGCATTGCGCCGTCGAGCGCGCGAGGGAAGGCCTGAAAGAAAGGACCCGCGGGACGAGAATCTAGCAGACAGACTCCAAGGACTGCGCCGGAGCAGACTATCAAATGCGAAGGCCCGGCCTCCGCGCTGGGCAAGTGCAGCGGTAGCTTGAGCCAGCGGCGTCTGGACGTGAATCGCGGAAGCGAGCCAAGCACATGTGCCTGCAAAACTGCATGCCCACACTTCACTGCCAAGCAGCAAAACATAGTGCACGGCCAAACTACTACTCCTACTACTACTAGTACTACTACTACTTCTGCCGCCTGGGCGCTTTATGACACACATGTCGCGCCACTAAGGGGACTAGCGTACTTTTGCCAAGAGCGAAAAAAAGCAGGAAGTCAGCCAACTACTCGCGAGGCTTAAATTTGTCGTTGTGGGGTTTAGTCTTGGCATCTTCGTGTGTAATGGTGGCGCTTGCTGCTGCTGCTGCTACTACTACTACTACTACTACTACTACTCTACTGCTGCTACTACTACTACTACTACTACAACTACTACTACTACTACTACTACTGCTGCTACTGCTTCTGCTTCTACTACTTCCACTAATTCTAATCAATGTTGGCAGCACTCCTGCTGCAACCCTTGTTTCTTGCCCGCAGCGCGCTTTCTAGCTCTTTGCCGGGCGTCTTTAAGAGCTGGAGGAAGACGAAGAAGAAGACGGCGCGGAAGAAGAAGACTTCACAGCATGGGCTTTTGCCTGGTCAAGCACAAAGAAGAGAGTCCAGCAAAGCAAACACAAACAAACCAGCCAGCAGTACGTACTTGGAGAGTTTGGTGCGGTGTGAATTGCACACCACATCTCCCTTCGTCAACGGTAACCAACGTGACAGTTAGCAAGTCAAGGTCCAAGCGTTTTAGTAATGCACAGCTGCAAAGCGCGATCAAGCGACGTTTTGACCCATACGCGAAGACATCCATCGGCAGGCAACAAACAAGAATCCACTGAAAAAAGGAAACAAACTTGCATGGTTTTCGAGATCCACCAGAATCGCGGACGGAAATCCCTGCAGACAGAATCAAGAGATGCCTGTAGCCAGTTGACAGAGTGTCTACCTGCTGGAATTGGAAGATCGATCCACGAAAACCTTCTTCCGCTCTTCATCAGACAGGAACCTGCAACACGTGGGTGACGGAAAACTGAATCCAAGTGAGAGTCTGGCCAGACTCCAAAGAAATTTGGAACAATGGAAAATATCATTTTTGATTCCGCAAGTTGGTGGCACCAAACTGACTGGTATCAAACTTTGATGCCAAAAACAACCTTTAACGGACTTTAATTGGAAGGTGATAAAGCTTTTGGAGGCTTTTCGAAGGCTTTAGAAACCCGTTTCAGAACCTTGCACCCAAACGGCGACGACGACGGTTCTGAAACAGAGTACCTGCGAGGCTTCAGCAACTGTGAGCGTTTTTTTTGGCTGCAGCTATGAGAGTCTGAGAGCTGGCTGGAGTGCAACAAACCTTGAGGCTGCCACTGCGACAGCAAGGCTTCAGCTTGCCATCTTCGACGCCTCGTTGCGTGGTCGCCGCGTTGTTGTCCGTCCCTCGATCCTTACCGGTGTCCTTACCGTAGGTATGCTCCATCTGAACTTTTAGGGGGCTTCAATTAGTTCAATTAATTGAAACCCCCTGGGGTCTTGACTTCAAACCTCTAGGAGAATCATAACTTTTTTAGAATTCAGAGGGCTTGAGAAGAGAAAGCTTTAAATCCTTCTCAAACCCTCATTAAAGCTCTGAATTTGTTTTGATGACCAGTTGGATGAATGCAGTTCGGCATTGTAGCATGCGACAGGATTTAGAACGCAGTACACTCGGTTTCGAGGGTTCACGTAAGAATGATTTCCATGCCGATGAAAAGGATCATGATCTTGAAGCATCATAATGATGATATTGATGATGATGATCATGACGATGATAATGGTGATGGTGGATGATGGCCATGATGATGATGTGATGGAGTTACATCATGATGATGGTGATGATGCCCACTAAACACGATGATGCGGCATTTATGCTTTTGGCGGCTTCCAATGCGTCCGATATGAACTTACCAGGCTTTCCTGCATTAGTGCCAGAATGCTTTGTCAAAGAACGTCCGTTTGGGGTGTTTAGACCGGCAATTCCTTCGCAGGTATGCTTGGAGCCTTGCAAGTCAGCAGGCACCATTTTGGCTTTTTAAATTAAGGACCACAGCACTTCAATCATGAAACATACATCTCTGAGAAGCACCACATTTGCCAGATCTAACGTCGCAGACAACTTTTTTTGGAGGCCACCCTAAACAGAATTCGTGAAGATTCCATTTCGCCTTCGCGCACGCCAATACTGCAGCTCATCTTGGAAGGGTCGCGCACGTTCGTTTTCGAGACTGTTCCGCTCCGGGCGTGCGCTCTCATGGACGATGCAGCACAACATAACTTCCTCGACTTGGCGAAGACCCGGCAATGGCTGGAGGTGTCGATCTTTTGCCTTCAATAAAATACTGAAGCATTCCCGTTGGCTCTTGCAACATTGATCGGGGCAGCTTGAAGTCGGAAGGTTGGTTGATACGATACGGTTGACGAGCTTCAGAAAGAGCGCGGGTTCCTGGGCATTGAGCTTTGCAAGGATTTGTATCATCTCCATGAAGACAGGTGCAGCGGGTCCTGCTGGGCAAGCCGCATTTAGTCAATGCCCCGAGCTTACAAGTGAGCTGAGCTTTCAAGCTTGAGGTTATCAGGGCAAAGCAAAGAAGTAGTAGTTTGGCATTTCCAGCATGCGCGCGATGCGAACGAGACTCATTATCACTGTCAACAAGCACACCTGCCGAAGGCCCAACCGTGTGGCCGCTTCTCGGTGACTCAGCATCGAAGGAAAAGCGTGTTTTCTCTGTCAGCGATGTCCGGTCTTGTGAGGCAAACCTGAAGCTTCAAACTTACACCAGCCTTGTGCGAAAAAGGGCGGGGCCGTGCTGTATGAATGTTGGCAGTGCAGCCAATATGCAATCTTATCTGGGCAACCAATGTTTCAATACACGATGCGTCGGACTTTGTAGTGTGTCAGCATGTCGTATGTGTTTGCGTCACGGCCACACCTTGCACATTTCTGCTGTTGATGCGCGTCTAGTTTTTGGAGTTCTTCCGTTCACACAGCGAAGCCTCACACGAAGAAGCCCCAGTTCCTGCAGCAAAGCGACAACAGCCCATGTCCTTTCAGTTCCCATTCTACTTTCATCCAACTTGAATCCCAGCCTAGTTGCTTTTCCGAGGCATTGCACCAGGCGTCTCAAGCAAATAATGCAGGTGCAGTGAGCGACTTGGCACAATGGCTTCGGTATCCGATATTCAGCGTTGATCCCCTGGCAGCTACTTTAAGTATAGCCGCGCCCGTGTCAGAGATTGCAAAATTTGGTATGGAGAGACTGTACGGAAAACGTGCCAGCAGCAGATTGGATGCTGGAAACCGTTTTGTGCTTCGTCTGGCGCCTTGAGCCCGGGACGGTAAAGCAGATGCCTGCGGGAACCCTCTGCAGAGGATGTCGGTTTCGAAGGTTAGCTTGCGCAGGCTTCGTATGTCTGAGACATGATTATCCTTCTTTTGATCCTAAGCACCCGACCTGCATCCCGATAGGGCCATGTGAGCCCGCTAGATGCACCTCCGTTTCTGTGGCCACAGAGCCACGAATATCTTTTGGGCCTTCTCTGTGTGTGTGTGTGTGACTAAGCTGTCTGCATGAATGCACGCGGGCGGCACACAACCAGATGAGAGCCCCGACAAGCCAAATGAGTCAATGAGGCTTCCTTCTTGAGGCACGAGCTGACGTCAACGCCAAGACCTCTGCCGGCCAAATCGCTGCCGAGCCTCTGCAGATGCTTTTTATTCCTCGGCCCTAGGCCTAGGCGCAGGATCTCTGCGAGTTAGATCGTGGCTGCGGATTCCGCATTGAGGACCTGGCCACGGACAAAGAAGTCAAGGCGGCCGTGCCTTTCCGCCCCATCTGAGGGGGCAGGGTGGGTCCTTGAGCGCACAGAAGCCCGCAGCGTGGAAAGACCGGCAGGCGCTGCTTCATGGTCGCCATGCGCAGCTCTCAGCCAGGCACGGGTCTAAGTGCGCACCCCGCAAGTAGAGAGTAAGTCTCCCAACCCAAGAGCCGGGCAGCAGCTGGAGTTTTTGTGTCAGGCAGGACTTGGAGCACCAGTTCCTAAATCTGGCGAAAGCCCGAAAGTGGAAGGCGTGCCGCAGCACCTTTGCATGGGCTTGGAAAGGGTTAGCTTCTGGAGCTGGGTCGTAAGTGGCCGTTGTGCATGTGTGACTTTTGAGCGATTTGTTCGATACCTCGGTGACATTGCCTTCAGTGCTTTCCTTTGCTGTTCATGTCGCTGCCAAAGGACCTGAGCAGGGCAGAAAGGGGATCTGAGCTCCTCGGCAGCTCGCTCTGCTCAGGAGCTCGCCGGGTTCCTTGCGGAGGTCCCAGACCTTGCACGCCGCTCGGCAGCACGCGGCCGCCAGTGATTCCCATCTGAGGAGGGAAAAGCCCTCATTCCACTCTTTGGTTTCATGCTGGGGAGGCTTCGGGCATCAAGGTTGAGAGAGGTTTCCACAAGATTGGGACAAGATGCGCAGCCACTCAGAGATCTGTGCTCACACGGTTGGTCAGGGAATCGGTTCATGATTCATGTTCATGGCTTCATGTGCAGAGCTGTACAGGCTAATGTCAAGCCTGGCGGTCTTTTTCCATGCTCCCACCTCGAAACGCAACGCATATCGCTTCGCAGCTGAAGGGGCGCAGCCCGGTGGCCGTTGGTCAGCACTGCACCAGGCAGCCTCAGCAGGCCTTTGGCCGGGCTTTTGGCTTTGGCGGTCTTCATGTTGTTTGCAAAGGCAGGCTTCATAGAGGACTCGGAACCCTAAAAGTACTTGTAGGGTCCAAGGATGGCGAGCTCGAGCAGAGGCCCTGCTGACTTTCAGTTTTTTCAAATGCTCGCGGCTCACGGCTGGACTGGTTGGGTGGGGCTTGGGTCTCTGAGGCGGCAGGTGGATCTAGGGCTTCTGCAAACGCTTTGGAACTCGCCTCCGTGGATGTTGGGCTAGGCAAGACACGAATGATGTCAGAACTTCATCTGTGTTGTCTTAATTCTGAGCATGGTTGCAGGTGTTCTGCGGAGGGTAGGATAGTTCTCTTCGGAAACCACAACCTGTCAAGGTCACCTGGAGACCATCCGGCTCTTGCTGTCCTGCCGCGCTGATACCACGGCCCGCAATAGTGACGGGAAAACACCCGTCGAAGTCACCCGGCTTTTGTCACAGGAGCTGTTCTATGTTGCAAACCGGGACGACAATCTTTGGCAGGTGTTATCGCTGTTGTGTTGGCCGTTTGGTGCCCAGGTTGCGACGGTCGCCGCCAGGCCACAAAGAGTCGGAAAGAGGGTGATCCCGCCCTCAATAGCCCGAGACCATCAGAAAGACCCTGGTGTCCGTCCTCGATACTTATGCCATTTCGGTCCGTGCTGAAGCACAACTTAAAAGGATCTTCGTTAATTTTGATCCTGGCAGTTAATGTTCTGTTTTCACTTAGTGTCTTCAGGTTTTTAGAGCAGAGGTTTTTTTTGGGACAATTTAACTGCATGCTTGCTGTGCAGCCTTTTTTCTCCTCGCGTTCAGGCCTCTCCTGGACTTGATCGACATTGACAGCTCACCGGAGCGTGAGGTGGGAAGATGTAGAAAATGCAAGAGTCACACTCTTCCACCACGCGGAAGGTGTGTAGTTCACGAAGAACTGAGGTTGAAGCGCAGAGTCCGCTGAGTCGTGGCTCGAGCTCTTCCAAACCACCTTGTCTCTTGAATCCTCAAAACGGATTGAATGGTGCATAGCGGTGCCATTGGAGCACGCTAGTACATGTGCATCTGTGGGGCAGGGCGAGCCGTCGAAACGCGCCAAGACCGATTCAGGCCTGGACCGGACTGGGAGTCTGAAGCGAATCAGAGCCTTAGCTTTCTCTCTTCGCAGCTGGTCTACATTGAGAGTCTCCTTAGACGTATACACGGTTTTCAGCGATGCTTTGCCGTGATGGGAACGGCAGGGCCTTCGCCGAACTTCAGCCGCCTGGAGGCCTCCTCTGGCCTCCTCTGGCCTTGCCGGACCGCGCAGTCTCCGAGAGACTAGCGGCCAGTGAAGCGCAGAAGTGCAGAGAGCTGGACAGCCCTTGGTCTTTTGAAACCCCTGTTGAGCCCCTGTGCTGCTTGAATTCCATGGCTCAAATCACAGGAAGCCACCGGTACACATGACTCGACATGCTTGGTTCAAGTGTTGTGTCTGCATTAGGACTGTTGCAAGTCGCAGGGAGAGAGAGATGTAGGGGTTTTGCTTGGGGACAAAACTCATTACCTTAAGGGTCCTCAGCTTCTTGCAGCGCAGGGCCTCGGTGAACCCATTATGACGTACAGAAACAGCGTTTAGGTGCATTGACATGAATCTTCATAGAAGATTTTTCCACTACATGTGTCTGTAGATGCATGCGTTTCCATCAGAGGGTTCACACATGTAGCTTGAATGATGTGGGCTTCCACCAATTTTTGCACAGAATCAATCACATGCAATCTTGTACATACCAAGCCCCCAACCCCCAACCACGAGCCTCTTAATCCCTCCTCTTCTTGCCATCCACTGCGCATGGACGGAAACTGGTCGTGTCCAGCCTGCACATTTGAAGCTTGCCTCGAACGGGAGCATGACAGGGCAGGGTGAGCAGGGCTCGGGAGCTTCCCCACAAAAAATCCACAAAGGTGCATGCGAAGCCTGAGGCCTTAAACCTAGGTTTCGGGCCAGGGACCTGCTGCAAGACCATGGCACAGCTGAGGAGAATCCGCCGTCTGCGGATTGCTGCGAGGTCTGCGAGTCTGCAAGGCTCGTGGGGTTGGTGTGGTGGGGGTGGCAAGCTGGATGGCAATGCTGGAGTGCGTGACCGGAAGTGTGGACAGGTTCCGTCTGCGACACCGTAAGCGCACGACGACACCCCGGAAGCCTCAAGGATGAAGCGTCCCTAGAAGACGTTCAGGGAGTCGTTGCGAAGCGCATGGTGACAGGCCTGGCAGCGGTTGGACCTGCGCGCTGCCTGCCCGCAATTAGCTATACCACCGCCAGCCTGGTGGCAACTGAAACTCAGGTTCTGCACCCTTCTGAATCCCAATGGAAGAGCAACTTGGAGCAGGTTGAGAGATTGAGGGCTGTGTGGCCACAGGTGAGCAACCTGGCTCCTCAAGTCCGGAAAGTGCCAGGAGATGTCCACAATAAGAAGACTCACCTGCATGTAACCTTGGATGTGCCAGTCTCAGGCAAGCTGTGAGGCATGCGGACAGGCAGCGTTGTGATGAAAGAGTTCTGCTGGTGTGTTCTTGTCTAGTGATTTTCGGATTCGCATGGGCCATAGTTGGCAGGCCTGTGCTGCTTGATGAACAGACTTCGTGTGTGTTTTCTTACCGTGTGGTTGTAGCCGTAAGTTGTGTGCAAGGTCTCCGGCCATCGTCTAAGTTTTACGCAAAACTTGGCTGAAAATGCAGGGAACACGCCCGATTGAGAATAGCTCTCCCGAATTTCAATGCGCGTGGTGCACGCTGGGAGGCCCGTCGGCCGCCGGCGGCTTCGCCCAAGCCGAAGGCCGCCAAGGTCGGCCGGGCCCCGCCAAAGTCTCCCCAAAGTCTCCTCGGTTCCCTCTTGCCAGCTTTGGTCTCCTTTTGTCAGCTGGTCACCGATTTCGAGGGGCGGGGGATGTTGGAGTGGACAAGCGTTGCAGATGTCTTGTGCAGCGGACGGGTAGTGTAACTACCTTGGTCTGAAGGCCAAAGCGGTGAAGCGCAATGAAGCCTGGCAGCCTGGCTGCAAACCGGTGAATTGCGTGGTCCTGGCGTTCACGATTTGCAGCAGGACTTCCAGCTTTGGAGCGTAGCTAGATGCACAGGCCAAGTGCTAAGAGTGCCTCCGTGGCGCTCCATGCCTCTCTGTTCGCGAGGATGAAGCTCTTGGAGTAGGCAGCTAGTCTCAGCGAATTGCAGCTAGACCTTGGATGAGCCTGGTCCCCGGCACAGGCTCCCGGCAAACCATCTCTTGGCCTACCAGGGTTACACAGCCAAGCCGAAGGCCAGGGCTTCTCTCCCTTCGGGCTCCGAGAGGACTCAAAATCAAAACAGCGGTGCCGTCTTTGTCAGGAAGCTGAGCTTCCCTCTTGGGGAGCGCACAGAGGATTCAAAAAAGCAGATCCATGTATGATTACAGCCTGATGCCATGTGTGGAGCTGTCACTCCTCATGCTTCCTTGCGGGAGACCGCTCCTCATCTTACTACGTGGCCCGCTTGAAGCAAGCGATGCAAGCGCGAAGGCCTCCGGTCCTCGCCGTACGACGAACTGGTGGAGCTCGAAGAAGCAGGACGCGGCGGGATTCGAGCGCAGCCCGCAGGATGCTCGTGTGCGCGCTCCGATCATGCTGTGCCGATCTGTCCCGAGGATTTCGTCCGTCGGTTCCTTAGTTGAGGACCTCTTCAGCGCTGAGGCTCATAGAATCACAGAAACTCCGCAGCTTGTTCTTGTCTTGGAAGAACCGGCCAGGGTCAGAGGGCCCTTGGGAAAAGGCACGTTGTGACCCAGGTGGCAGCTGTCGCCTCGTCTTGGATTCCAAGCTAGCCAAAGGCTCGACAGCAGTTCACTTTGTAGTCAGATATCGATTGTGTTTTCAGCATGGCTGAGTGGCTGTTTTTGGGTGTTGTCCCCTTTGGTGCCAACTCCATCTCGGACGCCCAACCACGGTCCCAACTCCAGCCGTGTCCATCTCGGCAAAGGCAGTCCGGCCTCCGTCGCCGCTTTGACAGGCAGCGAGCTCTGGCAACACGTCTGGCGCGTGGACATGCCCTGCGAGGCAGGGCATCCCAAGATGTGAGCGAAGCGCTAGAGTGCCTGTGCGTTCAAGGCTTCCGAAGAGATGCCGACGTGTCCTATCTGCCTCGGCTCCTCAGCACTGATTAAAATTTGCCGAAACGATTTCGTAAGAGAGAGAGCGTCGCCCCTAGGCGAGCCGGAGCTGATCCGGACGCCTCCCTGTGGCCACGTGATCTGCTACCTTTGCGCACCTTGGCCTGGGGTGCACCCCCGCACTGCAAGCAGGACAGCGAAGAGACCTCTTAGGCACAACCTGGATATGTAGTGAGTAGCGCTCGATTCGTCGGGGGCTTCGTCAAGGCCGAGGGGCGAAGTGGGCCAGCGAAAACTGAGGCCCTTCGGCACCACCAAGCCTCTCAAGCGGCCGCGTGTGCGAAGGCCTCCCTCAAGCAGGTGCCTTTGGGCCGTCACTTTGCCTGATTCCGCATCGAAGCCTCTATGCTTTTTTCGGAGGGAGCACACAGAGCATCAGAGAATTGGCCTTGTCTCTCTTCCAAACCGTGGCAATTCCGGGCGAGGCTTGCAAATGCCCGGTGTGCAGCCAGGCCGCGGCACTCAGTGGCGTGCTGCACCCCTTCCTCCCTTCCTGAAGTGTTTCTTTGTTCTTGCGGCCGGGATCGGCAACAGGTCATGCGCCTGGAAGACCTGCGCCCTGTTCGCCTGGAGCTTCAGCACCTGCCGAAGCCGGAGCGCACGCTTGTTTTGGCTCGTTTTGGAGCCTCCGGGTTGGGCCGACTTTTGCTTGCGCCCCAGGAGGAAGGTGGCTCGCTGGTCTTCACACTGGTGCGACGAACAGGTCTTCACTACCTGAGTCTCGCGGGTGCCTCGCTTGAAAGACCAGAGGGGTCAGGTCTCTTGTTCTCTGGCCTGTGGAGTGTTCTGGTCGCAGTTGAAGGGTTTTTAGCGAAGGTGATAGCTCTGTGGTTTAGAACTTGGCCGACCACAGCGCCAAAGCTCTACTTGGAAGCCCTGAACCTCAAACCCCCGAAGACGCCCAGACGACACGCTGCCGCGTGGCTGCCAGCCGCATCTCCCCCAGGAGGGCGAGCCAGGCCAAAGGGTTTTGTGGACTTAGCAGGGTTTATGCAGGGACGCATGAGACAGTGACACTCGCTCTCACTCGGCATTGTAAGCAAGGGAGAGGGGACTGGACATTGGTCTCTACTAAATAGACTCTACTACAAATCCTGTATTGCTGTCCCCTCCAAGTTTAAGAATCCCTGGTGGGATCCTTCAAAATGCCGAGACCAGAGCTTTTTGTGGTTGCCGCTATGTTTGCACCATTACAGTGCGATAAGTCTTTTGGGCTTCTGGGGTTGAATGACCACGAGATGTGAAACTTGGAAGCGATGGCTGAGATGTAGACCATGTACTGCTGCTTGACACGCATTCCGACAGCATTCGCTCGCTACTAAGCGACATAGCTGTCAGCGGAAGTTCGTAATTCCTGCAGCAATTCAAATTAAGATCAAGTTCTGGTGTGTGTTCTGATCCCCCGCGGAAGGAGCCACTTTTGCCCGCCGAATCTTCGGCGATCCCGAGCTGTACCTCAGCCACCTCCACGAAGGCGGGAGCGGAGACAAGAGAGCGCGGCGGGCTTTCGGAGCGGTAGTGCAGAGTGTGTCAGATCTGCGGGTGCTGGAGTCCGCGGCTGCCTCCGGCGGCGAGGAGGCCGCGCTGCTGGTCATTTTCAGTGAGACACCGTTACTTACCTTACTTGTCGCAGGCTCCACTGGCGAGGTCTGCCATCGAAGTTCCTTGTCAGCAGCCACGGAGAAAGCGCGGCCAGGAAGCCCTTTTCCTGATCCGAGGCACTTCAAACACAGCTTGTGTCGCCTGGGCAGGGGACTTGGCTGAAGCCGGCTGAAGCTGTCATCGCTGTCATAGAATCCTTGGATTGTTCCGGAGCTGATGGTAGCTTGTCTTGTCTTAGCGGCTGAGCCCATGAAAGGCCCGGAAGAGTTTCTTGACACTCAGGGATCCAACTCCAGAACCCCGCCCACAGAGCTGTACGTATCCTGATGCCAGGAAAAGCGCACAAGGTTTGAAGGATGCATCGAGCGAGTCTTCTAGCTCCTCGGCTCGGTCAGAGGTTCAGCGTGGTGTCAGCATAGCTTCTGCGCAGATCCGCAATTTGGAAGTTCATACTCCGCAATCCGCGTAGATTTTACCCTGTTCCTTGACGCCACGGCTAAAAAAGAGCTCTCAGGGTTGACTTACCGGTATCTAGCTGTTGGTAGCTGTGATACTTGAAACTTCAATCCGGGCAGCTTTGATTTTCTGCCAGCTGTACTTACGTGCTTCTGGCGGCCAGCCCTCACCGACGAAAATTGCCCTGAAAGCCGTTAGGTTCCGAGACTCTGGTCTTCTATCAGAGCTCCGACGGGCATCTTGGATTGTGAAGCTGTTATCCTGGAGAGAAGCCGGAAGTCAGGATAATCATTGTGTAGGCTTAGGCACTGTCGCTTTGTCCCACCATGATCAACATTATTGCAAGTGTAAGTGTTTGATTCGGTACTCCGAGAGGACGAAGCTCAGTTTCGCGGGAACGGACACATAGTTGCAAAACCGATACCAGTGCTGACTGTACAGGTGTGCAAAATCGACAGTTACCGAATACCAATTCCGCATTCGGCACTGTAGAAATATTGCCGCCTGCCAAAATACACCAGAAGTCAAAGCAGTTACCCAGTGTTGGTTTTTGAATCTGGATCCATGACCGGTCACGTTCCGTGGTGCAACAGCCAATTGCACTGAAGCTCGACGCACTCATTGACTGACTTGTCAACATGTGAAGGTCGCGCCCGCTCGCAGAGGATGCCCAGCATCACCCGACAACCAGTATGTAGCTGCTACTGGATAGCTCATTGGAGTTTCAGATTTTTGACCACATCGTTCGTGCGGACCCCTCAAGCCAGGGTTCGATATGAAAGCTCGCACATTCCGATTGCGTTTCCAGGCAGCTGATTTTTCTCGAGCCTTACTTGATGAAGCAGCTTCTCTCCGAGCACAGGTGGGCTTCGACGAAATCTGAACCACTCCCAAGCTGCAAGTCTGAGTCCATTGCGGCATGTGTCGGTTGTGTTTATTCGTTTGACCTGCCTCGAGAGTGGCAGAACCGATCTTACATGCAAGTCTGTGAGCAGAATGCGGCAGGAATTGGGCTCATCTTCCTTCCAGCGTCACCCTGCGGCCGCTGCGGACCATGCGACAGGCACAGCGTGAAACCAGAAGCCAAGTCAGAACCCGCTCGTGTCGAAGAAGAGCCATCACGTCGTCTGGAGAGAGGTATGATGATGATGATGATGATGGCAGGGAGAAGTAAGTGCACAGAGAGCCGACATGAAGAGCAGCACCGGCAGAACTGCAATAGGCAGAAGACGATGAAGACTGTGCAGCATGAACATCCGTAATTTGTTTGCGAAAAGTGTACAGTGTAGAGTGTGTAGACGGCAGAGGCGCCAGGGGACCAGTAAGTTACATTTACGCAGTGCTAAACTGCTGCTTAGGAGCCGCTGACAGATCAGATGAAGCAAAGGCGCCAAGGGGCTTTCGTCATTGTCGGTGTGCTTTTTTGATCTCGAGCCAAGACATGAGTTAGGCAGCGAGAGCCTTCAGGTCTCAAACAGAATTGACTTAACATGGGGCTTTTGAAAGGGCGACAGGCCTTTTCCTTTTCAGAGCGGCTGTTCGTCCAGGAAAGGTTAGGGGAGTAATTTGACGGCCGCTGCAGTCGCCGGGTTCTGAAAGCCATGGCTGTGAGGCACCGTTTCCTGGCGCACCTCCCGTCTGATGCGGCCGGAAATCTCATTGCATTTGCCGACGGAAAAATTGAAGGCAGGCAATCAATCACCTGACTGTATCAATGAAGCATTGCAGGTTTCGAGGTGAGGCGTTGATTTGGAGCCGTCTTGAGTTCGCAGGAGATTCCAGCAGGCCGGAGCCGGCTCCAGGTAAAGGTGGAAGGACCCGCTCCTTGGGTTCGGTGAGCAGGTCTTGATTGGGCCCCACAGAGAAGCTGCCACTGCTGACGCGCTGATGTTCGTTGATGTTTGTTGCTGCCGCTGCTGCTGGTGACGATCAAACCTGTGATGGCGATGATGATGGTGGTTGATGAGAGGAGACCACCAAACCGGGCATGTCACGAGGCTGACGAAGATGTTCACACGTTCGAGACCAGCGCAGAGATGTGGGCCTTTTTCTGAACCAGAGGAGTCCAAAGCCTACTTGTAGAAGACCAGGGCATGAGCCACTGCCCTGACCTGTCAGTATAGGAAGGTCCAAGGTTTCCGCTTTTTGACTGCTTTGAAGACCGAGCTTGGCCTTCAAGAAACCCAACGACAGTCTTGAGTCATGCAAGAGTTCTGCAGATTTTTCGTTTTGCTGAGAAGATTTGCTTCGTGGACTGCTGGAGTCGGGCTACGGCGCCTCTTTAGCATTTTCTTCAATTGTTTTGTGGGCTGCATGTTTTGTTTCATGACATGGTTTGCGGCCTCCAAGAAGCATGGTGCTGGAAAGGAGCCATGGCAGCTTTTTCATATTTGCGTAAATCGTACCTTTGCGCCTAGGAAGGGGGCTGTGGCCAACCTTTGCCACTGTTTTGGAAGAATTAGTTCATGGCCTTCAGTAATTCGGCACCGGGACGGGAGCGATGGCTTTTTTTCTCACAATTCTTGAAGTGCAGGTTTGTTGGCCTCCAAGAATCCTGGTGCTGGGGAGGGCGCTATGAAATGTTATTGGGCATCTGTTCGATTGAGGTGTAGGTTTGTACAATGCATACAGTTGCGTACACCCTTGGACAGCCTTGAAAGGTGCAAGTGCTTGCGGTTTTGCTCAGGGACAACAGCTCAACACCCCATCCGAGCCCCCACGCAGGAAGGGCCGCCAGCGCAATCGGCGGAAGGAGTATGTCGTGCCTGTGCAGTTTTATCAACACGGCCATGCCCGGTCAAAGCCTCCGACTTCAGACCATCGAAGTTTCTGCTCGAGTGCTGATGCGTGCGAAGAAGGTGTTTCTTTTGCAGGATGAAACAGCAGATCTGATAACGGCAGAATTGCTTCAACCAAACAGCAAGTGTGCTCTGCAGCATGATTAGCATGTCTCCGTGTGGGCAGTGGTCGAAAGTTCTGGCCCGTCTCTGTGGTTTGTTGTTCCGACATGGTTTGAAAGGTTACCGCAGCAGAGAGCACACGGCACGAAGCTTCGGGAGCAAGATTCGCTCTCGGAGATCAAAGCGTATGTTTGAGGAGGAAGCTTAAACTTTGTGCCTTGGCTTGGCGGCAGAAAGCTGTCTAAATCCGAGCAGCTTCAGGAGCCTTGGAAAGCGAAGGAGCCTCAAAGCCGCCACAACTCTGCGGCTGCGGAGGCCGCAGGAAGTTGGCTGCGAGTCGAGCTCGGAAGATTGTGAAAACACTCAATGACAAATGAGGTTTGTGCAAGCCTTGACTGCATCGGCCATGCCGGAGGGCTCTGTGGCTCTCCCATACCAGGCATCTTCAGCTCAGGAAGAGGGCGGGGATGCCGCGGACAAGGCGATCTTGTGCAGCTTCGTGTGCTCTTTCCGAGAAGGGGGCGGGTGAAGCTTGAAGCTTGTTTTCTCGATGCCCTGAGAGAGAGAGAGTTGTTTCTGGAAAGTTTGGCCGTGATCTTTTGAATGCTCTAACCCTGAAGGCTTGAAGAACCCCCAAGACTGGCCCAGGCTGCAAGTGAAGGTGGCTTGGAGACGGCAGGCGACCGCCCAACCGTCTGACACTTCCAGGGTCCTGATTCGTAGCATGCGGAACGCCAGTCTATGATGGGACTGGGCAAAGTCGGGACTTCGAAGTTGAAGAGAGGCCGCCGTCCATCTGACGATGCACACCAGGATGCAGAGGCTCGCCCTCGGATGTATGTTTGCGGTCTGAACAGTGCACTAGGACCGAGAGGAAGTGAGTGGCAGTGAACTTACTACTTCATTTTCGAGCGTGTGGTTGTTACTGGCTAGTGTTGATTGAGCAGTTTTGTGAGCGCTGTGCGTGATTGCTGCAACTTGTATTCAACGTGGGTGCGACCCACCCTGGGCTACAAACTGCTGACGGCGTTCGGTAGACGGAGCGAGACAAGCTTCAGTTTCTGTTGTCCAATCCCAGGTTTGCGGCTTTGAGTCGAGGGTCCAAGTCTTCGCAAGTTGAGGGTTGCAGAGCTCGCCTCTAAAGCCACAGCTTATTTGTCTCCCACGCCGTGGTTGAGGACGCCTGGTCCGATGCTGAGGAGCCTGTGGAAGAAGAGCCCGCGCAGGAAGAGCCTGTGGAGGAGCAGCCTGTAGAGCAGCAGTCTGGAGAGAAGGAGCCCGCAGAGGGAGAGACAATAGAGTCCGCGGAGCCTTCAGGAGGGGAGACAGCGACGGCTTAGGAACCTAGAGGGGCTTGTTGCCAAGGCCGTGAAGAGATTTCGGTTGAGCTACAGCATTTGAACCCGGAAGCCGCGATTCCAGAGAATTTGAAGCCGTCGCCGCAAAACTTGTTGCAAGCTGTCGGAGCCTTGATGCTTGAAAACCTGGCGCATGGCACTTCCTACAAGTAGGAAACATAACTTAACGGCCGCTGGCAGCAAGCCTGTCTGTGGGTGACAGATTCCCTCTGCTTGTCTTTGCGGAGAAAAAAGGTCCTGCTTCCAGCCGCGCATGCACTTTTCGGCCCGAAGCTGACAGTCTCCGATGTCATGCTCACGGAAACGGATGCCAACCAAACCACAGAAGTCTGCGGCGGTGCATCTAGGGGGCGGGGGGTTGCAGAATGTTGCAGAGACCCCTCCTATCCCAGATGCCTCCAGAGCCTTCGGGCCCAAAGGCAGCCAATTCCATGCCAGGGACCCTTCGAGCTGGCAGCTCCGCGGAGCGAGCCTCGAAAAGGCCCAAGCCGAAGTGGTGTGTTCCGCTCGGTGCATTTCGGTCGTGTTCACCTTTATAAACAGGCTTTGGAGTTGCTTGAATTTCCAGCCAGGGAAGGTCTCGCTTGCACTAGAACAGCACTGTAGATCTGTTGGACTTGCCTCCTCGGGCTCTGTTTCGATCCCGATCTTTGACTTTATAACGAGGCGGAATTCAAACGACTCCTCGGTGGTTCATTTTCAGAGAGAGAGAAAGAGAGAGAGCGCGAGCTGATGCGCATGATGAGGCGTCTACCACTTTCAGCCTTCCACCGGCTCCCTGCAAGTGGGTGGCGAGGTGCGGGGGTTCTCGTTGCTGCAACTTGAATGCGATGTCACATCTTCAGTCTGAACAAGATGGTGGAAGACACCTTATATGACTTGTATTACTTTCTTCAAAAGCTTTTAGGAAGCAGTAAGATGCTGTTGTTTCGCCTCTGCCTTGCGGCAGGAGATCGCACGGTTCAGCGCCGAGGCAGTCTCCAACCTGCCGGGGCGCCTACTCCGGCACACTCTTGTTCTGAGTGTAACTGAAGGACAATGACCATGAAGCTCACCATGACCATGACCAGCATCTTCACCAGCACCGTCACCACCACCACCACCGCCGCC